TTATTATATAGAATTATAGGTCAAAGGATTCATACAAAGTTAAATCAACATATTATCCAACAATATTGAAATAGGTCCATCACACACAACCTAACCTAGAGAAGTTTAGCTACTCATAATTCGAATTACAATACCAATTGAAGTAAGAAGAATAACATATTATTTACCTTGAAGGTTTGGCCTCCAATGGCTTTAAATGTTCCCTAAATCACCCTTGATGGTGTAAAAATCATACTTGCAGTGCCAATTTTTAGAACTTTTCATGTAAAGTTCAGAACCCTTGAAAAATTACAAAAATTCCCCTTTTAAAGCAGTTAAAACGCGTCAGAAAAGCCCAAAAAACATCTCGTCGTGCGCGTGATACTTTTCCATTGCGCGCACGATATGAACATGTTGCATCGCACGTACGATGCTTTCCATCACGTGCATGATTATTCTAAAATGGAGATATTTTTTGAGCTTTATTTTGCAAAAAAAAAAACACGTCAAAACGAGTTATGAAACTCCATATATGATCAATTTACTGGACATAAGTCAAAATGTAAGTTATGCTGAAAATTGCTCATTTTGTCACAATTTCTTCCCGATTTCTTGGCTTTGCTCTATTTTTTCAATTTTTTCATTTTATTAATACTTCTTCATATTTATCTCATCTTTTATTTGAGATTTCATCGAATTCATCGCAAATACTCATAAAAATTATGTAATGACAAACTGTCATCATGTATCATTTGTGTCATGTATGTGAATGTTATCCTTGCTGACTAATACACCAATAACTTTTGTAAACTTATTATCATCCCTTTTCTATTGTTGTGTGGCTAGTTATGACTATGTTACAGATACAGGTAGTAGACAATAGTTGTGAGTTGGAGAATGACACATATTGCCTTCTTTTTTATTTACATTTTTTAGTTTCGTTTAGTTCTGCGACGTTGCTCTGATATGTAACACTAAGATGGGATTTTTTTTATTTGTGTTTTGTTTTTATAATATTTATGGGATTGTTTCCCTCATGCTTGAGTATTGAGCTATTTGTTTGAATTTATTCAGTTGAACCTGTTTGAGATTATCGACTGCGTATTTTTTGAAAAAGTTTTGAAAATTATGTTTGTCTTAAAGATGATGTGTGACACCCTTGATGCTAAAGTATGTTTTGTTTTCACGATCTTAATTAAATAAGAGTTGTGGGGTTAGAAGGTGTTACATAGTTTGTTTTAGGGCGTGTGAATTTGTTTATTTCCCTAGCATGCGACATGTGTGTGAACACTGTCAATGCTCGTTTTTCTTTCCTATTCGCTTTCCAGCAGGAGCGAGATCGAAATAAGTGGGGGAGGGTGTCTTCTTCCATGAGGTGTATTAAGTGTGAACATATGAGTCATCATGTTTCAGAATGTACTGCTACGAAGTGTTTCAAATGTGGGGCATCATGCTAATGACTGCAAAAGTGGTTTGCGACATGTTTCAACTATGGAGAGCAAGGTTATATCCGTACTCAGTGCCAAAAATAAAAGCAAGCTCAATCGGGTGAGAAGGTCTTTGCTTTGAGTGGAACAAATACTTCTATCTAATAGTATGATTTGAGGTACATGTTTTATAGACAATTTCCTTTTGATTGCTATTATTGATACTGGTGCCACACATTTGCTCATATCTCGTGACTATGTGAGAATATTGAATCTTGTGGTGTCTACTATGAATGGTAGTATGGTTATTGATACTTCACCTAATGGACCAGTGACTATATCTCTGGTTTGTTTGAATTTCCCTTTGACCATATATGGTAAGAAATTTGGTACTAACTTAGTCTTCTTACTGTTAAATCAACTTGATGTTATTTTACAGATGAACTTGTTGGAGTTTAATCATGTTTATATCAACTGTTATAATAAGTCAATGTTATTTTCTGAGTTTGTTGAAGAGGAAGATTCAAGGTTTATATCTGCTAGTCAAGTGGAAGAGCTATCGAAAGATGAAGCCTAAGTATTTGTGATGTTTGCTTCCTTGAAAGTTGAATGTAAAGCAATGTTGGTTGATCTTCCTATATTGCGCAAAGTTCCAGATGTGTTTCCAAATGACATTACTGATCTACCTCTAAAAAGGGAAGTTGAGTTTGCCATAGATTTAGTATTTGGTATTAGGCCTGTGTCGATGGCACCATACATGATGTCAATGTTAGAGTTGGGTGAACTAAAGAAACAATTAGAATACCTGTTTGAAAAGAATTTAGTCAGACCAAATGTATCACCGTGGGAGCTCCAGTGTTTTTGGTAAAGAAGAAAGATGGTATTATGAGGTTATGTGTTGATTATCGACAATTGAATAAGGTTACTATCAAGAACAAGTATCCTCTTCCTATAATTGATGACCTTATAAATTAGTTATTCAGAGCGTATGTGTTTATCAAGATTGATTTGAGACCGGATTATCATCAGATTCGAGTGAAGGATGAAGATATTATGAAGATTGCGTTTAGAACTTGATACAATCACTATGGGCACTTGGTGATGTCGTTCGGTTTGCCTAATGCTCTTGATGTGTGTATGGAGTATATGATAGGATCTTCCATCCTTACTTAGATCACTATATTGTGGTATTCATAGATGATATTTTGGTGTATTCTAAATCAGCTGAAGAACATGCGGGACATCTACGAGTTGTGCTTCACGTTTTAAAAGAGAATAAGTTGTATGCCAAGCTATCAAAGTGTGAGTTCTGTTTGTAATAAGTGAGTTTTATTAGTCATGTGATTTATAGTGGTTGAATAATAGTGGATATGTCCAAAGTAGATGACGTGCTACAATTGGAGGCTCATAAGTCACTTATAGAGATAAGAAGTTTTTTGGGTCTAGCCGGTTACTATAAAATATTTATCGAAGATTTTTAAACGTTAGCTTTGCCTTTGACTAAGTTGACTCGAAAGAGTCAAGTTTTTGTTTGGGATGTTCAATGCAAATAAAGTTTTCGAGAACGGAAGAAAAAGTTGACGACAACGCCAATTCTAATCTTACCATATGCGAAAGAACCTTTTATGGTATATTGTGATGCATCCAAGATGGTTTTAGGTGGTGTGTTTATGAATAATGTCTAAGTGGTTGCTTATGCATAGCGTCAATTGAAGATTCATGATAGGAATTATCCTACCCACGATTTAGAGTTGGTGGTTGTGGTGTTTGTACTGAAGGCGTTGAGGCACTATATGTATAGTTTGAGGTTTGAGGTATTCAACGACCATGAGAGACTAAAATATTTGTTTGACCATAAAGAATTGAATATGAGGCTGGGGAGGTGGCTTAAATTCTTGAAGAACTATGATTTTGGTAGAGCTGTCAAAATGGGCTACCTGATTCTAAACCGGTCGGTTCTGACGGACCTCAGACTTTTTAGAACCGGGCAAGAAAAAACTATGTTGTAATACGAGTTTGAAAATTATTACTTGATCCGGGTCCTAGACGGACTTTGGGTTACCCAACCCTAAACGAGTTTTTTTAATTAAAAAATTAAAATAAAATCCCATAATATTTATTATAAATGAAATTAAAAATAATATTGTTTTAAACATAATATATTTGTAAGTATTATATTATCTTTTATAAATATTATAATGTGGTTTTAAATACAACACATGTTTAAATTGTTTAAAATAATACTTGAAAATTTAATAGATGAGAAACTTATAGAATGCGAGAAAAAAAAATGTTGATTATATTAATATATAAAATTTAAAAAGAGAAAAATTAAACAGAATAGAGATAAAATTTAGTGTGATGAAAAAAATAATATATTATTTTAAAATATAATTTTCAAAAGTGGATGGTGTACCTACAAACACTCCGATGTGAGATTAGTAAAGAATGTGAGTATGAGATTTAAGGTTATATATTATGCATACCCAAGCATGTAATATACCAAGCATGTAATATACATTAGGCTTTGTAGTAAAAGAGTATGGTTTCAAGCTTTTGAACCTTTTCTAAGACAACGTTATATTATTATTTTTATTGAATTAACTTTATTAAAATTTAAATAATACTACCTTAAAAAATAAGAATAACAATTATTTTAAAGTAACTTTTATAGGCTAAAACTAAGGGAGTAACATATAATACCAATTATTAACATTAGTAAAATATGTATAAGGCTCATTGCATGTCTTTAGATTTTAGGTTTAGCCTCCTAACTTTTTGCCCCTTTTTTTGTTTGTGCCCTTTCGTTCACATGCTCACTCACACGTGTTTGTTTCTATCCAAAATCCACTCACACTTCTCTCCTCTTTCATTTCAATTTCAATTATTATTCTATTACTCTATGACTATGATGAATATATGTGAAATGCAAGATCCAATCCCTTCTTCATTATTACTAGTTTTTTAGTATTTGATTATTAATTAGTTTTTGTCCTAGTACTAAATAAAAAGAAGTTAAGAAACCAACCCATTGCCTCATTGTACCTTTTCTGACCATAGTAGATTACATTATTCATCATCATACCCAAATTAACAGCTCAATAGAGTTTCATTACCCAAAATCATAACCTCCTTCATTCAAATCAAACCCCCTTTATTTTCTTCCTAAATTCAATCACAATTTTCTCATTCCCAACACACACAATATGGATAATTTCACATGTTAATTTAATTATATTCTCTTTAAGTTTTGTAACAATTCATTTTCATTTCCCCCTTTTTGCGTTTAACCCACATCAACCTTCAATAATTGATTTTTCACCAATGCATGATACAGGTTGCAAAATCAGAAATTTCCTTCAACCCATTTGAATTCGCCGTCTCAATTTCACGTAGCATCTCTCACATTGTTCGAAATTCAAGGATTTCTCCATGTCCGAGATCTAGGGTTTCTTAGCCCTGTTCTTCCCTCATTGGTTCCTTTTCACGGTTCTTCTACAACAAATCCACGTTTTTCGTGTTGGATTGGTTTTTTTTCCTCCATGGGTTCCCTCTAAAGCTTCAAAAATTATCGGTTTTAGCTTCTGGGTCACCATGATCAAGCAATTCCTAAGTAAACTTCCTCGGAAAACATCGAAGACCGACTCGGACGAGTCATACCGAGGTGACTCGTCCAGCCGGAGCGATCCGCCTCGTGCCGGGAAAAGTAGCAAGTCTCACGGCGGCAATGACGGTGCCAAAAACAATGCAGCGAAAAGGAATTCATCGGCGGCTGTTTTCCCGACAAGCACGGTGTCGTTGATAGAACCGTTGGTGCCGTTTAAGGATGTTGCGAGTTCTGAGAAGATGAATCTTTTTGTGAGCAAATTGAGTCTTTGCTGTGTTGCATTTGATTTCACCGATCCTGGTAAGAACATTGCGGAGAAAGATGTAAAAAGAAAAACTTTGGTTGAACTTGTTGATTTTGTTTCTTCTTTTGGGTCTGCAAGGTTTAGTGAACCTGCTATTCTTGCAATGTGTAGAATGTGTGCTATTAATCTCTTTCGTGTTTTCCCGCCAAATTATCGAGCCAATAATCGAGGCGGTGGTGGTGGTGAGAATGACGATGACGAACCGTCTTTTGATCCTGCTTGGCCTCATCTTCATCTTGTTTATGAATTGCTGCTTAAATTTATAACATCTTCTTGCCTTGATGCTAAGGTTGCAAAAAAGTATTTTGACCATTCGTTTATTTCAAGATTGTTGGAGTTGTTTGATTCCGAGGATCCTAGAGAAAGGGATTGTTTAAAGACAATAACGCATCGGATTTATGGCAAATTCATGGTTCATAGACCTTACATTCGGAAATCGTTTAACAATGTGTTTCATAGGTTTGTGTTTGAGACCGAGAAACATAATGGGATTGCTGAGTTGTTGGAGATTTTTGGGAGCGTGGTAAGTGGATTTGCTTTGCCATTGAAAGAGGAACACAAAATCTTCTTGTGGAGAATTTTGATCCCTTTGCACAAGCCTAGAAATATGGGGGCTTACTTCCAACAACTGTCTTATTGTGTTACACAGTTTATAGAGAAAGAGCCTAAGTTGGCAAGCATTGTGATAAGGGGTATGTTGAAATATTGGCCAATAACACATAGTCAGAAAGAGGTGATGTTCCTCGGTGAATTGGAAGAAATTTTGGAAACAATTAACATGGTTGAGTTCCAAAGGGTCATGGTACCATTGTTTTGGCGAATTGGATGCTGCATTAGCAGTTTGCATTTTCAGGTAATCTTACACTGAATCCATTTGCTAAAAATATCCTCATTTTTTTTGGATATGGCTATTCCAATGTTATATTTATTGTAGAAAAAATGGATCCATGCTCTAAATCTTTTGTTAGCTCGAGGTCACTGATAGGCTGTGAAAGTTGATTTCGATATGTTTGAATGTTTTTTAGTAGAATTGATCCTGCCTCTAGAATTGATTGTAACGCGTGATGCCTTTTCCTTTACAATTGCCTTAAATTTTTTGTTCAACGAACTTTTACATCAAGTCACTTCTAGTTAGGATCAATTCGTTCAGAATAATTTTTTCTCACCGCCTCACATTAGAACTAAACACGCACTACACGTAACTCTTTTATTGGTAGTTTTCGATGGTTTCCATTGACTTTTGCTGGTTAATTTCTTAAAGACCCTTTTTAAAGTTCTACCTGAATTGTTTCAGGTATCCGAAAGAGCCCTTTACTTATGGAACAATGACCACATTGTCAATTTGATTGCTCACAACCGTCAGGTGATACTACCTATCATAATTCCAGCACTTGAGAGAAACTCTCAGAGTCACTGGAACCCAGCAGTGCTCAACTTAACTCATAACGTTAGAAAGATGTTCATGGAGATGGATGAGAATCTGTTCCTTTCTTGTCGATCTCAGTTTAAGGAGGAAGAAGCAATGCTAAACACTGAATCTGAGAAACGGAAAGAAGCTTGGAAACAATTAGAACATGCAGCCAGTCTCAAACGTAAAATCGGAAACACTGCAGTTTTAGTGTCTTCGGTTTTATAACCAGAAATTATCTATGTATATGAGTACGATACTCGATCAAATCTCACGAAATGTGGTAAATGGTTGTTACTGGAAGCAGGCTTGTTGCTTCTTCTGGCAGCCAAATGTTGTAAACACTGTAACATGTTTTTGATTGTTGACTGTGTGGTTGAAACCTGCCTCCTCAGGATAAGTTATGATGGGAAGGACCATGCAGTTGATTAATCAAACAATTTTCTGTATAAGCTTATTTCCAAAATTTGTAGCAGTGTATATTATCTTCTTACCTATAGTCTCAATTTCTAAACAATGTGAACAATGGACTTGTTTAAACATAATTAACTACTACTTCTTTCATTTACCCCACCCACTTCTTCATTAGCAATTAAAATTTCATTCAGGATATGCCTTCCTTTTACATCTAAGATAAAATTGTTGCTTAACATTATGTTTAGAAATGAAAATAAAAATGAATTTAAAGGAAATAAGTAGGTTGCACAACCAAAAGTTGGAAAATTTCAATTGGAAAGTGTTAAGATTATGTTTTTTTTTAGATAATCACAAGAAATTAATCATTCAATCATTTTATATTTTATAAGACTTCACATCAAACTCTTGATGGTATTTATAATAGAAAAACTCTTTTGATTGTAACAATTGTATGAACATATTGTAGATCTGTGTTGTGCATGTATAATTGTCAGTTGGTTTGGTTGTGTTGTGCATGTATAATTGTCGGTTGGTTTGGTTTTGATGATGACAACTATAAGTATATTAAAAGACTACAATTTCATAAATCAAATGACTTTTAGGGGTTGATAACTCTCTTTCAAAGTTCATTGTGACAACTATCAAATGAGGAGTTTATTACGATTGTTTAGGAGTTTATGCTGATGACATCTGATCAAGAATAAGATATCTCAAGTCTTATCAATCAAATGATTCAAGATTTAATTGAAGTGCTAGACAATGTTGAATACATTTGAGAAACTTGAAGTCTTAAAGTTGTAAACATAAGAAAGTGTGAAAGCTCATAGGATTCAAGTCTTACCAAACAGATGATTCAAGATTCAATTGAAGTGCTAGACAATGTTGAATACATTTGAGATACTTGAAGTCTTAAAGTTGTAAACATAAGAAAGTGTGAAAGCTCATAGGATTCTACATTTAACGCTTTAGAGTGATCAGTTTGTCGTAAAAGGAACAAAAGACACACACACTTTCAAACATCTTCTATTTTTATTAAACTTCTTTAAACCAATCCAGGAAAGTATGAAATTAATTAGAAAGTGTTTCTAATCATTTAGTAAAGTTAAGCCTAATCGATTAAGCCTTTGGTCAAATTAATTAAAGCAAAGAGAAGTTCCTTCCAATCGATTAGAAAAGATTAATTGATTAAATCATATAGTTATTTTAAGGTTTCTTCTTTCTGGATTAGGGTTGTCATTTTAAGGTTGTTTTAATCGATTGAAACATCATTTTAATCGAATAACTTATTTATTTGGTTCATTGATTATTTCATTTTTGAGTCAAATCTTTTTCAATATATATCACTACGCAAAAAATTATAGAGTCGTCATCGAACTTTATTTATCTCAATGGAGAAAGAAAAACATCGAGAAAACCTCATAAGAAAATGAACATGGCCTCGCAACCAAATTCGGGTTTGGAAGCCTATTACGCAACGAGAAGTTATTAGCACCCCTCACGTTCGTTGTACTCAACAGAATCCACTCTGGTTGTTCTAATTAAAGGGTTTGTATATCTAAAGACTTACTTGCTAAGGGAATGCATGAATGAATTATCTGGGAAAAAGAAAAGGTTTTTATTATTGAGTTTGTCTGAGTTTTGCAACCCAGTGCCGACGTATCGCAGAGGAAATCAGAACTCTGTAGTTTTTGTTAAAAAAAGTTGATTTCTTGGATGTTTTTAACGGACGATGCTAAGTTCACATTCTAGCAGTTAGACGTTGTTTGATTGCGGTAGAACGAAAATAACATGTCCTTTTTGAAAAAGTTTTAAAGAGAAAAACCCGAAGGTAAAAATGTTTGAATTTGTTGAAGTGTTTTGTTAGGGGATACATGATATGATCCCTCAAGGCTGGAGGTATTTGAGTACATTCTCCTTTAGTTTTAAAATTGTTTGTGATACGCATTATACTAAAGTCTATGACGATGAGAGCGAATACTTTGTACAAATGAGTCAAGTGTCTCACGTCCAAAATACTCTAAGAAGAGGTAAAGAAGGATCCCGCTCATCATTTCCCATGTACTTAAGACTCATGGCGTATTTATATGTATCGTATTTATGAAGTGTTTTCGTATTTGATAAAGAAAATAAGTTTTGTGTTAAAAAGAAAAGAGAATGTAAAGAAGAAACAAAGTCTAAAGGGAAGCTTGATCCTAAATGTTGTCATGTAAAGTGGACTTAAGGTTGAGATTGAAGAGAATCTAACCTAATGTTATTATGCATCAATGACCCTAAGGTAAGGATAAAGGGAAACCCTAATCATGTTGTCATACTTGGATCAAGACCTAATCTTAATTCAATCTTAATCAAAGATCAAATTGAATAAAGAGAATCCTAAGGGATCATGTGAAGCAAAGCAAGCAAGCACAAATAGTCATCAAAAAGCATCAACACTCGAACTATTCAAATAATCACCAAGAAAATCAAGCACTAAGAAAATGAAAAAAAAATCAATCAAGGTGAATTAGAATTAGGTCAATGTTTTAATGTTGGTTATGTTAAGTCCATTGTCCAAATAGTCCAAAAGATCCTCCAAAGCAAAGGGTTAACCAACTGGTCCAAAACTCCATAATGCAAAGGTTTATTCAATTAGTCCAAAAACTCCAATGCAAAGGTTTATCTTGTTAGTACATGGTCCAAAACTCCGAAGCAAAGGTTTATCCAATTAGTCCATAGTCCAAAACTCTAAAGCAAGGGTTTAATGATTCATGACTTTTAAAGTCTTATTAGTTCTTTTTTAGGTTCATGATGATTTATTTTATTCAACATTTAACAAGAATTAACTATCAAAGTTTAACAAGAAAATGAATCAACATTAAATTAGGCAAATCTATCCAAAACTCAATGAAAAAATCAATCAAGAAACTAATCAAAATTACTCAAGATTTTAACCAAAATCAATCAAAAAACTCCATTAAAATATCAACTAAAATTTAATTACTATTCAACTAAAAAAATCAATTAACATCAACAAATAAATTCAATAAAAGCCTAACAAGAAATTTAATCACAATTTCAACCACAAGTCTAATGAAAAACAATAAAAAATTCTAATAAAATTCAATTTAAATTAATCAAGCAATTCAATGGGGGAAAACTAATCAAGAAAATCCACAAGAAATTCAATCAAAAGCACCATTCTAATTAATCACAATTTCCATTGGAAACAACTAAAGAAAAGACAAACCAAATTATATATATAAAAAAAAAGAGAAAGAAAGAAGAACCCAAAGGGAGGTCCAACTTGTAAATAGGGGTGCCAAAGCAGTTCAGGCGCAGGGCCTGGTGGTTAGGCCCAATAGCCTTGGTACATGAATCTAAGGGATTGTCATACCCCAAATTTGTTCTATATGTATATAACTTTCATCTGTACATCCATCCACTAACCTTTATTCAAAAAAATAAAAAAAAGGTATGCTGCTTATGCTCATGGTGCAAACTCAGAGTATTACAAGGTTAAGATTAATTGAATTGAGGGTCATTTAAAGGTTATCAATGTGAATATGTGGATTCAGTGATGGTCGAAGATCAACTAGGTCTGACCTTGGCGCGGTGAGAATTAGATATCAAGCTATGGATTAACTTGAATCGTGAATCATATTCACCACCGATCTTTAATTTGTCTAAGGGAAAGGAAAAAGATCGAATTGCCCAAAAGTATGCAATGTAAATGCAAAGCTAGAGAATCTAAGATTCGGGGGTTGGTTATACCTAGGGAATATGCTAGCATCCTAAGTATCTGTAGTACTCTACATGAACCTATTATTTTATTGTGTTATTGTTGTTTGCTAAGGGTAAAAGACCTAGGGGTTATTTCTAGGTATACTCGCCAAGAAATTGCATCTTGTGCCTACATATCCTGATGGGAGTGGAATCAGAGTATCCATAGTTCCTCTAAAGGGTTTAAGGAACCATTGACTATGGTCAAAGTTCCAGGGGGAGAAGGTTTGTTGATTGATTCTAGGAGAAGAGACGAATTGTCATCTTAAGGAGAATACTCGACTTAAACCACCATAAATGTATCGAAGACGGTCTTTGCGTCACATTGAGAGAAGGGCCCTAATTCGGATTTTTATCGACGAATATGCCACGTATCTCTCTCAAGCGAAAAAGATTCTACATCTCACAATTATATTATAGGATAGGAGAACTATATCTCGACTACGTAGATGAATCACGTTTGGTTCTCTTTGTAGGATAATAGAGGATTGAATTGAATTTTAAGTTGTCTAATGTTGAAAACTTAAGGGCGTCTATCCTAGAGACAAAGAGGAACCTAAGTTGATCAACTTGAAAAGTCGAGGATCGAGCGGGGAAATGATGCAGATGCATAATGCAATGTAGACGACTTATAAATTCATGTACAGGTTCCTCCCTTGGACGTACACATGTGTAATAATAAGAATTAAACAGAAATGAGATAGAAACATCAATTATCGCAGTTAAAAGTCATGTATGAATATGAGATACAACAACGGCCACTCGAACTTGAAGAGCAAAATATCGCATCATGAATTTGAAAATCAGAATGCGTGAGCATACGTGTTGGTAGTGACCCAACAAAATTTTACGATATGTTCTAAGGCAACAATCTTGTCCTCAATAAGTTCTCTAATGAAATGATGACAAATATCAATATGCTTAGTTCTGCTATGCTGAATGAGATGTTTATGGAACTCAGATTGTCACAATTAGGTTACAATGTAATGATTTCTTTTGATAAACGAGACATATTTATGGGGAAAATAAGGTTACATGATTAACTTTACCAC